AATACATATGATATGAAATTTATCAATTACTCCTCTACTTCTTCTTCTGTTAAATAAAAAGACAATGAACTGCACAAATATTCTTATTTACTCAACAAGACTTGTTCAGCGAGAACAGATCATTTAAAATAGTAGATCTTTTATTTTGAACGTGAAGTTCATTCACTCATTTAGCATTATAGCTGATGTCAGTTTGTGATGAAAACATTGATGAATCTAATTTCTAACACTAACGTTCAATTGTAAGTTCTAATCCTAATTCCTAACACTAATCTCAATATATAGTGCCCGCAATGTCGAGTCACCTAGACTGGTAGCCACATTGCAACATGAGCGATAGCATTCGATTTGCACTAAATAAGAACTTGACACACATGACATTGATCACCACCCAGTGATCAATCAATTGCAATCTTCATTTGTCCCTAGTAAGTATGATGACATTCCAAGGTCATTTTAGCGTTGCTCGAAGGGCGTCTATAAATTTTAGTCTCATCGGCTAACGACAATTTGAATATAAGAGAAAAGTTAGAAATTTTGAAAAAAAACGCTCTACTCCAAGGTAAGCTCATATACAGCAAAAACTCTGGGGTATTTACAGTACTTCAGACGGCCTTAGGCCTCTGGAAGGTGCTGGAACCACGCAAACACATAACAACAGGATAGGCAGTCATCTAATCAGAAGTTGAAAAGCAATACGTTTATTTCGAAATATTGAATTCTCTACGCTAAAATGTCAATTGAATATTACAACCAATCAAGTAAATAACTAATTGCAATTGATTTGAATAGAACCTCATTAAATCAGTGAAGTGAGACAAAATGCAGAAATAATCTATCGAATGATTAACAAACCAGAAAATATGACATAAAAATTGGTTATATAGAAGAGCTCAATCAATTATTAATTTATTTGTTTACCATAATTATGAAATCAATGTTTATATTTATGTATTTGTGAATGACTACAACCTGATTAAACGACGATAAAAATAACAACCAATTAAAACTCTCATAAGTTGATACGATTTAATACATTTGACATCTTTTTTTTAAATAATTCAACATTTTAATGGTTGAATTCATGAGTCAATTGAAGTTCGACCACCATGGAAAACCGGGAAGCACTGGACGACCGTTTCATCTTAGTATGGGACTCAACAGTGCGCAGCTGGTGCCGGCTCAGTGGTCTAATGGTTAAGCGCTCGTGAGCGAGACTGATAGGTCCTGGGTCGAAATCTCGCGGGGGGGGGGCGGGATCGTGGATTCGCTCTGCTGAGGAAACCCATTCTAGGACAAAACGGCCGTCCAGTGCTTCCAGGTTTTCCATGGTGGTCTAGCTTCAATTGACTCATGATTTCAACTATTATTTTTGTTATTAGATTATCTTTCACGGTAAGAAGAAAAGAATAATTCTCTCTGTTTTCATTTTCTCTTTCTCTAGTTTTCTAGAAGTATCCTATTCTTATATGATTTTTTTCGACTACCTTTTTCATCTAGTTTCTCATTTCCTTTTCTTTATTTCCCTACGAAACAGACATTCCATCTTCATTGATTTAACATTATAACAATGTAATTATTTATTATAAAGATGTAATAAATTCAGAATTTTATTCTGGTGGAAGTAAGAAAAAAAACCGCGAACGTTTTCCACTTGTTTTATTCTGATTTGTTCAATGTTAAAAAGGTTTAACTATTTGAGCTACTAGAAAATCAGTATAAACCTAGAAACAACTGAATTGCTATTTCATTCTATTTACCACTTATTCGTGTATCGATGACACTACTACTGTAAATGAATTGAAGAATTCTGAACTTAGAATATATCAACTAAAGTTCAGTAGTTCAAATTGTTTAGCTTAAATAATGCTACAATATAAAATGACTATTATTCAGTGTCATTATTGATTTATAGGTCAGCATTCCGAGTAGCAACAAGAATGAAATAACTATGGAGATAATTCAACAAAAATTCAAGATGTGCAAACAATGTATTCAACATATGGTTTTCTAATGCAATATGTAATTTTGCTTCATATAATAAGTTGGTTTACTATAACAAAGTATTCGTTCATTACAACTGCCTTTTTTAAATGCTAATATGGTTACCGTTCTTGTGAAGTGTATAGATTAGTTTAAAATACCTTCCTAGTAAATTTAAACTTGGATTCTTTTTTACATAGTGAAGTAAACCAAAGTTTTCATTTAGAAACTTAAAAAGGAAATGAATCACTAAGGGGATGGGAGGATAATTATTGGCTATTATCTGCATTTTTCAGCGTTCGTAAAATATGTTACACTTATCACTTTCTGTCATTCTCTTTTCATTTATGTAAATGGATAAACGTTGTATAGTAAAGTGTAGTTCTCATTAAAAGTTTCATTTTAAAACCTCATATTTAAGTATATTTGTCACATTTCATCCAGTATGTCGAAATGATCTACACTGAATATTTCAATCGTAAACAGTTGAGAATAACTTTACCTATTTGAAATGAAAATTTCACTTTAATACACAGTGCTCATCCACCAAATGCATGGGAAAATCAATCAAAACTAATGAGTGCAACACATTTAATGAACTAGTATAGGGGTTGTGGAGATTATTAAATTTTTGATTGAGACCATGAACCGATTGATGTTAGACCACCTTTGGAAACCTGGAAGCACTGACGGCCGTTTCGTCCTATTGTGGGACTCTTCAGCAGTGTGCACCCACGATCACACTCGTGGGATTCGAACCCACTAGACACTATCACCATTGGATGCCGGCTCAGTGGTCCAGTAGGTTAAGGGTTGGCGCACGAGACAGAAGGCCTTGGGTTCGAATCCCGCGAGCGGGATCGTGGGTGCGCACTGCTGAGGAGTCCCACAATAAGACGAAACGGCAGTCAGTGCTTCCAGGTTTCTAAAGGTGATCTAACATCAATCGGTTCATGATCTCAATCAAAAACATTTAATGAACATGAAAAACATTGTTAAAAAACCCATCCCTACTTTTTCCATGTTAAATACTCACTATGGCTCTACATTTATATTTATCTTGAAATTTATAATACAAGTCAAATACGAATAAACTAATGAAGAGTAATTTAAATTAAACGTATTCAAAACTAAAGTATTTATAAGAATAACAATGAATAATTATGTAATCAGTTCTTGATGTCTAAGCAACTAAGCTAAGTGTAATGTTCATAGGTATTAAGTGGTGAATAATTCGTAAAAGATTATTTTAAAACTGACTGTTTGAAAAATTTCCATAAAGAAAAAACAGTGAATATCAGCTCCAATCACTTAAAAATATATTTGAAATATAACCGACACATAGTTTGTCAATTACTTTTGTTAGATAACGGTATAAAGTCATTAATAGCTAAGATGTTTAAGGCAATTTTACAAATTTTGCCCTTGTAGAATTCACTCTTTAATAGTAAGTGAATTGAGGAATTCACCTAGAAGAGCCATATTCTTAGGGATTGTATTCATTACTACATGTTGGTATCAAAAAGGTTGTCAACTTAAGTGTATGCTTTGATTCCAATAAATGTTTTCTCTAAAAAGCTTCTCATCCATCGTGTCGCAATCTTATTAGTGAGTGTCAGCTCTAAACAATAATTTTATGAAAAATTGGTTGTATTGGAATAAATTGACACAAATGTAAACAAATTTACAAATTCTAGAAGTAATTATGATAATACCATCTAAATGTTTATAGAAAGAGGAAATTTAATTCACTTGATGTTGTTTACTTGAATATTTCCATGGATGTTTAGGATTGTAATTGATTAGTCTATTATTGGCATATGTGTATACTGTGCGGACTGCCACGATATTACTTTATCACACAAGCATTATAAGCAAAGATGGATAGTGGCTAGCAATGGAATTCAGGACGTGCGTCTCATCCTATTTGGGACTCGTCAGCTGGATGTACCTGCATCTGAAAACTTAGGATTCAATGTTCACTGGTGATTTTGTATTAAGGGAACATTTAAAGCTAATTAAAAATACGAACATACCTGATGTAAACAAGTATTGAAAACAAGGAAACACTAAACGATCATTTTTCTTAGAATTGAACTTTCCAGAGAGACAGAAGGTCCTAGGTTTGATTCCCGGTTGCGAATTCATGGAAATGCACTAACTGAGAGGTTCGTAGTAGGACAAAAAAACTTTCCAGTGCTTCTAGGTTTTTGATGGTTATCTAATTTTGATCGTTTTTTTGGTTTCGATGAAACTAAACCGCCTACACAACCCTATACTCTCAAAATTCGATTAGGAAACTAATTTTTACTTTAAGATGAACATAAGGAATACGATAATCGATAACAATACTAACTATCACTCGTAACTGATTCATTATCTAGATACCTTACCATTTGAAGCAAGACATGAACGTCTTCAATTTAATTCAAATTATCCCTTATAAAAATACAAAAAATATTAGGTTTTCAGAAGTTTCTAGTTGATAAGAGTCTATTACTAAAAATCTTTAGAATCGAATGTAATCGAGTTAGAAATTGAATAAGCGGCACATTACATTTCTGGACAGAATGATCATATATGCAGGGTTCCATGGTTTGAAAAATAGATGGTGTCAATAAAATTATTTATCAGAGGAACACCCCATTAATTATCATGTAACCCATCTATAATAGCTGTTCTCTGAATAGTGGCCAATGTCACATTTTTTTACTTCACTTAGTGATTAATTCATGCAAATATAGCAATCCTAAAGGAAATCACTCCAGGCCTGACGCAATCATCGGTAGTGTTTTAGATTATGAAACGAAGAGACTCGGATTCGAATCTCATAGGGAGCACTAATTCCCATCAGATTGCTGATAAGTCTTAACTAATATCAAACTTATGTTCAAGGTTTACTTTTGGTTCATTCTAACCACCGAACATCATACAACTCATTTATTTATTAGGCAATAATCAAACATTTAAAAACTACTGAAAATTCACAATAACTAACATTATCAGATAAGACTTACTTTTAATCCCATTTCTATAGCTTTTAAACGTAAATTATGTTCCAAATCGTTAGCATTTAAACCTTGTAAAACAATTGGTGACATACCAACTGGACGATTTAATGGTAATTGAGCTAATGTAAGAAAACCATCCAATTGTGTTGAATGATGTTGAACTAATTCAACTGGACCAACAAATTTATGGCCTATGATAATTATGAAATTAGAAAATGATTTAAAAGAAGCTTATATTGAATATGATTAAATATTAAGGATACTACAGCTTATTCAACAGTAAAATATTATCAGGTGAAATCCCATTACAAGTTTAATTATATTCATCCAGCATTCCAATATTTAGTTCGAGCATTGTAATTTTGAAAACAAAATTACCTCTAACAAACACCTTACATCTCAGCATAGTGTACACCATGTTGAGTCACTTAGACTAGTGGTGTGGTACATGCTAGTTACGCCTACAAATATAAGTAGTATGTAACACTAATCGGAAGTGGAAAACCTGGCATCAGAAGACTAAGAAGATCAAGTTCGAGAGAATATAAAGGAAAATAGAAAGGAATTGTGAACTTGGGAAATCATACGGAATTTGAAGGACAATTATGGAAATTTGCAAATGAAGTATTCAATGAATGATTCTTATATTTTACCAAGATACTCTGTAATTTTGTATTAAAATGCATTGGTTGTCTCCAGCTTTGTTCTCCTTCAGAACAGTATTGGCCACATCGATATAATTCGATCATCTCTTAGAAAAGACAATACTGGTGATTATTTAGTGATCAGTCGATGGTAAACATACTTCTGTCATACAGGAAGCTGAGTGACACGCGATCGAATCTCAAGATCACAGGTAAACCTTGCTGAGGAATGACAAATAGCATGAAACCTAGGTTGATTAATTCTAACCACCATCTTCTATAATGACGCCTTAAATAACTGTTTAAAGATTGGCACGGTTCTGTTAAATTAACGAAGCAAAATAGCTTCGATTCGAACGTAGATGAACATCAGAATTAATTTCAGTCTACAAAATAAAATTTAGTGTTATAGAAACCCAAAATATTCATCGAAAAAGTCTAGAGGGGTTCTAAAAACTCTGGAAAACATCTTATCTAATCAGCGGTGAGTAGACGTTTCTCAGAAACATCTAGAAAATTAAGAACCACGTGTCATACTTCTGATTGAATGATTACCTATCCTGCTGTTATGTTTTGTACAGCTCAAGAACCTTCCAGAACCGCAAGAACATCTGGAGTACTATATAAATAATCTCGGTTTTCTGTACGTGAGCTAACCTTAAAATAAAGAGTTCTTTTCATACTTCACACTTTTTCTCATTTATTCAAGTTGTTAGCCTAAGGTTATTAAGAGTTTAGGAAACCGATTCAAGCGTTCAGTTAAAAGACTTATTAGTTAGGTTTTTGGGTGCTAACTTGAAAGTTATTAATCATTTAAGAAAAATATACGAAAATTAGTTATAATTTTTAAAGTGAACTAATTAAATTATATGAAGAATCCTGATAAGCAGCCTTTGCTTCTCCACAATGGGTAACAGGTGTAATTAAGTAATTAAATTAGAGTGAAACATTACTGAAATCGAACTAATGAGCTGATTATCTAAAACGTATTGTACACACACTTTTTTGGTTTTAATGAAGTATTTAATGATAATTATTGACTAATAATAACAGACATACATTTTTGCACTAGAAAATTTGTTTAAAAAGAAATATCTACATACTACTTATATTACTATTAATGTCATTAGTAGTATTAAACTGTATTATTTTCATCAGTGAAACATTGACATTGAATAACTGCATTGCATGAAAGTATCTTTCTTACGTTGATAATAAACATGATAACGATAGGATGTATCTCATTTTACCTAGATGTTTCGATAATGATATTAGAAGACGAAGATTATCTTCTAATATCATTATCGAAATTTATCAAAGGGACTAATTGGTTTAAATTACCTAGATGTACATATTAGTTTAATGCGAAAAAATATTGATTTGTTTATTTTATTCCGTAACAGAATTTATTAACTCCGCCTGGAGTCCCTCCGGGGGCTTCTGCCGGCCCCCAGCCCGGATAAAGGAGGATGGTAGGGCATGAGGTTAGCGACCCCATCCCATAGAAAACCAACTCGCTAAAAAACGCTAAGCAGAAAAAATAATTTAAACCTTTTAAACTCTGCCCTGGGAGTCAGAAGGTCTTCATTTAGAAGAGTTATGGCGCCGAGTCCCTTCGGAAGTCACGAGGCCAATGCCCCTTCTGACAACCAGAGCAACCATTTATTTCGGTACATAGAATACTCGTACAATGTGGAAGACCGGGAGAGTCTTCCAAATCGCTGCAGAAATGAGGAGATACAACCTAGAAGTGCTTGGGATCAGTGAAACACGTTGGACGCAAGTTGGACGAGAACTACTCGCTTCAGGGGGAGCTTCTGTTATACTCCGGTCATGGTGAAGAAAATGCCCCACATACATATGTGATGTGAAACACTATACAAGAACTCAGAATAAATTCGGTCTAAAGAATAATTTTGCTTCACAATAAAGATTATTCATTCTCTATCTTGAAAAAAATTGAATTTGTTACATTTTTGAATGTTAAGTGAACATTAGTAACAGCTGAGATCCTATAGACTTAAAATTGATTATCAAGACAGGAAGAGGAAAATAATGTTACCTGAGTAACTAAATGATAATGTCTTTGTCATATGGATTGATTCGCCTATCAATATCATAGGACACATTAGTTTCGTAAACTATTTTGATACACCTTAATGATAAGTGTCTAATGATGAAACACTCGAATTTCGTACTCTCTTTTAATCGCCTCCAAATGCCTTATATTAAAATGTAGTGACTATGATACCTAACTACGTTAAATAGTCTCTATATTACTAGACTGATTAATAATCTTCAATACAAAGTATTAGGTAAATAAGACATCGTTTACTCCTTGGTAATCAGCCAGTTTCAGTAACCTTGTTAAAAAAAATAACGTATTGAAGAAAAAAGACAAATATAACATTCTAGTACTTTTCTTTAAATGTTCAAACGTCCTACAACAACTTCACAGTTGAAACTTCCCTAAAGATATATAATTAGATACTTTACAGTCAAATCGGTTAATCATTCTGTAGTTCTTAGGAAACATTCTATACCTAAACAAGAATATATTTATCCATGCAATGACATACAAGGATATCTATATAAAGATAAAAGACACAAACAAACTGAAAATCTACTGAATGGATTTATGAATAGTTAGATTACAAAATAAACTTCTCTCTTCTCTTTTTTTTCAAAAGAAAACGAAAATTTGTATGGGAAAAATTTCTTTTTAAAACTGATGTTTAGTAACAGATAAACATTGTGAGTATTTAAGGTCATTATCTTCATAAATTTCTTTCCAGGAAGCCAAAAAACTCTTTTTTTCCAAAGATAAATACAGTACAAAGTCAAAGGATAGTTATTACTAATATCCATGATACTTGTTATATATTGTAGTAAATGTTAATTTAGTGAACAATAGCATCATTGTAGACAATCAAATGTATTTTAATACAAAATTACTGAATCTCTTAGTAAAATCTGAGTATCATACAGTAAATACTTCATTTGCAAAATATCAATCAATCATCTCAGACTTCATTGTTCTTTCGTTTCCACACTAATCATTCACTGTTCTCATTCTCTTCCCTTCAATTCTCTTTTAACGTTCACCTATGAAACACCCTATTTTCGACTGGTGATACATACTACTTATATGTGTCAATATCAGTAGCACATCCTACATTAATAGAACTTTCAAAATAAATCTGTGATAAACATTTGGTGGTTATATTAACTAACCAATGAGTAGTGACTAATATCATGTTTATCTAGTCGTTTAACATTAATTGAATTCTATTAATCAGATCGCATTAAACAGAAGAATATGACTAAATATATTCATAAGAATTTGCCCATTGCATAAACTAGTAATTATCTGAACTCAATAGATCAGTGGATAATAAGTTGGTAATTGAAGCAAATGATATTGAGTTCGAGTGTAACTGTGAATATCAAAACTGGGACGCAAGCGCATTTCAAATGGGACGAAACACACGTTATGGATTTCAATACAAGCTACCATTTAACTCTATAAAAAGAGTTATATACTTTTGTTTAAGTAAAATAAATTACTACTATTAATGAAGAAAAGAAAGAAAAGAAGACACGTAGGAAAGACGCTGCAAAGAAACCTCTTAGAGGCCTACTTAATGATAGTCAAGCTAAGAGTATATTTCAGGAACAACTAGAAAACCAGTTAGACAGCCACGTAAGTGATGCCCACCCCGAGGCAGAGTGGAATGATATCCGAAAAGCTGTGGAAACAGCAGTGATATCTGCTAGTAAGGTAAACCAGAAGGTTAGGGAGCAACACTGGATCTCAGCAGCATCTATCGCACTGATAGATGCTCGGAAACTCATTCCACCCGGCTCTGAACATAATGAAGAGCGGAGTCAGCTTAAGCGCAAGCTGACAAGAAGTCTATGCAATGATCGCGAACAGTAGTGGGTAGCGAAAGCAAGAGAGATGGAAAAGGCAGTGGCAATAGGTAATAGCAGACAATTGTTCAGACTCGTTAAGGAAACCGGAATTAGGAACCCGACCGTTAGCGAAACAATCTCAGAGAAAGATGGACATATTATTCATTCTCAATCCAGGAGATTAGATCGATGGGCAGAACACTTTAGGGATCAGTTCAACTGGCCTTCAGCCACACTTCGGTTTCCCACGATCTCTAGTCAACCTGAATGGCAAGTTAATGTAGGTCCTCCGTCCCTTTACGAAGTTGAAAAAGCCATAGGAAATCTGAAGCGAGGGAGAGCAGCAGGCCCTGACAGGTTTACTCCTGAGATTTTTAAGGATGGTGGTCCAGTATTAGCAATGAGAATAGAGGCTAGCAGTGGATTCCACTGCTAGCCACTATCCGTCTTTGCCTAAAAATTTGATTATCTTTAATAATTTTTTAAAAGTCCTCTATTTTCCTAATATACACTACTAAATAGAAAGAAATTACCTATTTAAATGATTGTATAGCTTGAGAAAATGAAAAGAAAATTTACTTTACTGAAATGTATTCATTCTTTTCAAATGAATCAATAGGTTCCTTTCATTT